GCCTGCATAGGCCTTCCTCAGAGGGCAAAATATTGAGTGGCAAGATGGCTATAAAAATATAATACAGTCATGTAGACGCAATCAGAAGGGATACAACCTATAAATTCAATATGGACCAGAAAACAAGTTTCTGTAACGGATAAAAAATAGGTAGATGACACGTTTCTACACTGGACTAGCATAAATGCCATTACAGAATAGTGAGAGTAATTATCCATAGAAACAGCAGGGAGTTACCTACAGCTACTTAATCTATGGAACCCAAATCACAGTGCTGTCACTGAACCTACAAAAGACCCTTGGCAAGCATCTGTGTTAAATGAACCCCATGGAACTCCTGAAAATGCAGAATCCATACTCACTGATCCAACTTCATTTGGAAAGCTCCTCTAGAATTGCTCGGCACCCCTCCTTCATGATAAGAAATGCCGTTGACAGGCCCACACCGAACTGATGTCTCAGGTTCCGGAAATATTCCTGGTTTGCCAGGTACCACAGGGTGATGGCCAGTCTTTTCTCCACCGGAATGGATGGCCTAATCTGTGTGTTCTGCCGCTCCAGACGGTGCCTCAGGGTGCCAGCTAGTTCAAAGAAGGTTGCCCTGGACATCCGGACATTCTTCAGCCAGTCCTCATTGATCCATGTGGCCATCACCGTGTTGGTCCACCAGTCCTCACTCCTGTCTTTCACCCACCAGCGTCGCGGGACTATATGGGCAGCAATGACAGGTGCCCATGCCCTGATAGATGTCCTCCGATTGTACCTGGAGGGTGCATGGCTCAAGGCATGCATGTCAGTTCTCCTCTCCCCCCCCTCCTCCTCCTAGACATATGAATGTAGTGCGTAAGCACCTCTTTCAAAGCTACTGTGCTGCTGATCATCATCTGCAACACCTCCAGGATCATTTGCAGCAAGATGGTTATGGAGACCATGAAGATCAGTAGCCTCTCACACAGTCACACCAAATCCAATCAATCACTCAAAACCAGCCTGCCAATCTCCAACCTCAACCCACAAAGGTGAGGGTTTTTCCTCCCTGTCCTTTATACCTGGTCCATCTCTGTGCCAGCCAATCGCCTCTTGTCCTGGATGGGTGCACATCAGGCTGAGGTAGCAACATCTGTCTCACCAATCCCTGATGCCCTGATTTCCCACCAAATCCTGCTGTCCAATGGGGTGTTTGCCTCCAGCTGGCAAGCTGTCACCCCTTCATCTTCTCCTGACTTGTCTCAGGGCATGGAAGGGTTAGCTAGATTGCTGTCACCAATCACTGATGCCCTGGTGCCCAGCTGGAAGCCTGCTGTCCAATAGGGTACTTGTTCCTAGGGGGCAGATGTAGCCATGGCATGTATCCCAGTGGAGTCAATGTATTCCAATGGGATCACTATTGCGATCGTTTGAGGTTCTGGTATAGCGATATATCGATATATCGCTATAAAACGGACTTTAAAAAAAACCGACCGACCGCGCGGGAAGAAAACGGCGGGAAAACAAAGCGGTGCCAGTGTGAAATGCCGAACCGCTTGTGAATCGGCTCCTTTCCGGTAGGGGCAAGCCGTGTGTGAAACGGCAGCCCTGTACCGGTTCATCTGGAAACGGAAGACTCCCGGCTTGAAACCGGGAGAAGACGGGTAATGTGAAATTCCCCAAGGTTTCCCGCAGGGAATTAAAAAGAGAGACAAAACTGGGTTTGAAAGGAAAGGATCTGGGCCTGAGATCCTGGACTGATAAATGAGGTAGAACTGACAGGCACAAGATGATTTGCTTTTTCACATGCATAAGAACAAAGAATAAAACATACAAAAACTGAGGTAAATAGTAACATTTATGTGGCAGTTGGGATGTTAGGTTTTACAGGCGGGTTTATAACATAAATACTGCACTCTGCTGCAGCTTAGTTACACATCAGGCTCAGCAAAGCCCTGCAGGCCTTCTCAGGTGCCTTGACAAGGAAACTTAATCAAAAATCTGATATCCTACAAATCTTTACTTCACAGTACTGTTAGATCAACCCTCAAAGCCTAACTCCCAGCCTTCAAAACTTAACTTTGTCCTTCAGCCTTAAAACCTAACTTCTGTCTCATTTAACCTCTCCTAGCCAGATCTTAACTTTTCCTAGTTCAGCTGTTATTAGCTGATTTACAGCCGTGTTCTGATTGGCTGCTGTGTCACTGGGGTCCATTTCTTTGGTCTGCCTATCACTGTGGTAGGGTTGCCAGGTCCCTCCTGACAACTGGTGGGGGGTGGGGAGGACTTACCAGTAGAAAGAAGGTCGAGGCCATGTTGCGAGTGTAGCACAGGAAGTGATGTCATCATGCCAGTGACTTCCAGGTGATCCTTTCATATATAGGCAAAAACTCTATGGTAAAACTGGCTTCTACCATAGAGTTTTTGCCTATATATGAAAGGATCACCTGGAAGTCACTGGCATGATGGCATCACTTCCTGTGTGATGCTAGCAATGTGGCCTAGGCCTTCTTCTTTCTGCTGGTAAGTCCCCCCACTAGCGAGCTGATCAGCAGCTTGGGGGCACGGCCTGTCAGCACCCCTGTCTGGCAACCCTACACTGTGAGCATTTCAGAAAATATTTCTGCCCAAAAAATGACTGTTAGGGATATGAATTATCATATTTTAAAAATATGTTGTAAATTCATAGCTGATTATGCCAGGGTTTTTATGTCACAACCTCTAAAAATATTCATATTCTCTTCTCTTCTTTGCTCTTATTTTTTTCAAGGAATTCAAAGTGATAGCCTTCAGGATTTCCTCTCTGTCTCAACTGTGGTGCAGTTGGAAGAGGAACTTCAGCACAGAGATCCAGAGCCTACTCAGTTTCCTGGGACTTTACTGGGGACTTCTCAAGGGGGAATTTCCCTGACTTTTGTGATCCCCAAGCATCAGTATAAGCAGCCAGCAGGGAGAAAGAGAAAACAATTGTATTTATCCACTCAATGCCCCCCAACAGGCAGAACACTGAACCCCAGAACTTCCTCCACAAGCAAAAAAAAATACACATGCACTGATTGCAGGAAAATCTTCAAGTCCAATTATGAATTTATTAGACATCAACGAATCCATACAGGAGAAAAACCATATGAATGCACAAAGTGTAGGAAGAGATTTATACGGAAGGATCACTTGCTGAAACATGAGAGCATCCACCGAAAAGTGTGTTCGTATAAGTGCCGAGTGTGTCAGAAGGTCTTCCGATGGCTTACACATCTTCAGTCTCATCAAAGAACCCACAGGCAAGAAAGCCGTTTCACGTGCCCCACATGTGGGAAATCTTTTTCTAAGAAAGGTGATTTGAATAGGCACCAGAGGATTCACACAGGAGAGAGACCCTATGGATGTCTTGAATGTGGGAAATCTTTCCAACGGAAGGAGCACCTTATGTATCATAAGGGAATCCACAAACAAGAAGGTCCTCACAGATGCCCCAACTGTGGGAAAAGTTTTCACCGAAAGGGACTGCTTGTGTCACACCAGAGACTTCACACTGCAGAGAAACCCTTTGCATGCTCTGTGTGTGGAAAGGCATTCCGAGAAAGAGCATATTTAAACAAACACCAGAAAATTCACATGGCCGGAAGGTGCTATAAATGCTTGGAATGTGGGAAAAGTTTTCTCCGAAAGAAGTCACTTCAGATACATCAGAGAATCCATACCAAGGACAACCTGCACAAGTGCCCTGAATGTGGAAGGGCTTTCTGCACCAAATCAGAACTCAAGAAACAGCAGGGAATCCACACAGGAGTGAAACCCCATGAATGCTTGGACTGTGGGAAACGTTTCCGTCGAAAGGATTATCTAGTAACGCACCAGAGAACTCACACCGTAGAAAAGCCCTATGCATGTCCTGAGTGTGGGAGAGCCTTCTCTGCAAAAGAACAGCTGAAAAAACACCAGAGAATCCACACAGGGGAGAAACCCTTTGCATGCTTAGAGTGTGGGAGATGCTTTCTACGTAAGGAATCCTTAGTGAATCATCAGAGAATCCATACTGGAGAGAAACCCTATGAATGCCCTGAGTGTGGAAAATGTTTTTGCAAGAAGGGGTTACTTGTGGCACATCAGAAAATTCACAGTGGAGAAAAGCCTTTTCTGTGTCCTGTCTGTGGAAAAACCTTTTCTCAAAAACAAGTGTTGATGTCACACCAGGGAATCCACACAGCAGAGAAACCGTATCAATGCCCTGAGTGTGGGAGAGAATTCCAACGGAAGGAATATCTCCAGGTTCACCAGAAGATCCACAAGGAAGAGAGATCTTATGGATGCTTGGAGTGTGGGAAATCTTTCCACAAAAAGGGGATACTTGTCTCACACCAGAGAACTCATACAGGAGAGAAACCTTTTGCATGTTCTGAGTGTGGAAGGTGCTTTGGTGAAAGCAAAGTGTTGAAGAGGCACCAGAGAATCCACACAGGAGAAAAACCTTATAAGTGCCTGGAGTGTGGGAAAAGCTTCCTACGAAGTGACGCACTTGTTGAGCATCACAGAATCCACACTGGAGAGGAACCCTATGAGTGTCTAGAGTGTGGGAAAAGATTTCGAGCACGGAGGAAGTTGGTGGCTCACCAGAAACTCCACAAAGGAGGGACAAGGTGTTGAAGCCCTGAATTGGAAAATGGTTTTCCAAGTAAATAACCTTCCCGTATACAGGAGAAAACCCCAGGACTGTCTCAAGTTAAGAAAAACGTTTTATGAATGATGCGGGAGGGGGCATTATTCAGTGGTACAGAATCTGCTTGGCATGCAGAAGAGGTCCCAGATTCTGTCTCCAGTTAAAAGATTGGGTAGTGGGTGATCTGAAAGGCCTTAGACCCCTGGAGAACAGCTGCAAGTCACGAGTGCAGGATACCAGCCTTGATAGACAGTGGTCTGTCTCATTATAAGACAGTTCGTATATATGTGTATGAAAACACAGTTCGAAGTCCAGTGGCACCTCTAAGACCAACAGAGTTTTATTCAAGGTATAAGCTTTTGTGTGCATGCACAGAATGAGAGAATCCACGCATGGCAGAAATTCTGCTTGCCCTGGGGAGCGGTAGCCGAGTTTACAAACACGTTATATTTAGGTTAAATTTCAGAAGTTGGGGAGAGCATTGGTTGTGTGTTTGTGTGTTATCAAGTCACTTCTGGCTTATGGCAACCCTACAAATTGTTGTTGTTGTTCAGTTACACAGTCGAGTCCGACTCTTCGCCACCCCATGGACCACATCACGCCAGGCCCTCCTGTCTTCCGTCCTGCTCCGGAGTTTGCTTAATTTCATGTTCGTTGCATCGATAACACTGTCTAGCCATCTCATCCTTTGCCGTCCCCTTCTTCTTTGACCTGTGGTATTGTTTTATTGTGTTATTTGTAAAAGTTACAAATAAAAAGTTATATAAGACCAACAAAGTTTAATTCTGGGTATAAGCTTTCGTGGGCGTACACACTTCATCAGATGCCACTGGACTCAAACATTGATCTAATAGTAACAACTCAGGTAGAAGCTCTGTTGAACAGGACGCCTTTTAATCTGCACAGCCAATCAGAAGGTCTGCTGGGGGAAAGCCCCGCCTAGCCCTGCCCACTTTCTAAAAGCACTTGGTGAGTACCCATGGGCATTGGGCACCATTGTTGGGACACCTGATTGACAAGATGCATCCTTGAGACGATAAGATTCGTTCAATGAAGTGAAGAAACAGACCGATAGAGCCAGATTGATACCCAGAAATGCCCTCCTGCAAGGTAGGCCCCCAAAATGTACAACAGAACACCACTAATTAATTAACTATAACATGGCATTGTGTGTAGAATAGTCAGACGAGCCAAAGATTGTCTGGCAGCTGCAAGTTCTAGCTCTCAGCGTTATGCTGCTGGCGAGCTAGGCTTGTTTTTAGGGACTGAGAGAGCTGTGACTGGCCCAAGGTCACCCAACTGGCTTCAAGTGGAGGAGTGGGGAATCAAACCCGGTTCTCCAGATTAGAGTCCGCCACTCTTAACCACCGCACCAAACTGGCTCTCTAGAACACCACTGGTTGTCACTTATGGTGCCCAGTTCAAACTAGTCCAGTACACCATCAGCGATCTGCAGCTCTTCCTGGATAAAGATATTTCTCTCTTGAAGGCGTGTTCTGGGTTACCACCTACAAATGCAGTGAGGGGAAGTGCTGTCTAATCACAGCCAACTGAGGGCTCCCCCTAGTGGGGTCTTTCAAGGCAAGAGATGTTCAGAGGTGGTCTGTGGCAGAATTTGGATCATGGGGTCCTTGTTCAGTCATGTATGAAGCCCATTGCAAACAAAAGCAGACTTTGGTCCTTCCCATGAAGCATTACTGTACGCACAATGCCTGCTTTCCTAGAAGCAAAGCGGGGCCTGGGTGTGAGCTCCAAAACGTGTGGGGTTTACATTCCTGTGCTGAGCTGTGCCATCTCCAAAGACAAAACTTTATACATTAAGGTCCTGTATATCTCCTGTCTAATCTGGAGACTCCTGATCGCCTAGAGGCACTTGGGGTCACAATGTTGTTGTTCTTACGGCAAAGGGGTGTGGTTATGTTACGGCATTCTTTCTTACGCCTACCTTGCTTTCCTTTAGGGGCAAGAAGATATATATACCAGGATTTTTCAAAGGGTAGGGGCTGTCTTCTGATCGCCTACTTGGCGTAGTGGTTAGGGACTTTTCAGTTTAGGAAAGAGACAACTAAAGGGGGCCATAAAAAAGGTTTATAAAATTATGCATGGGCCGAATAACAGATCAGCATTACACCAGCCAGAACCGGTTTGGTCTGGTCACCTGGACTGACAGTCACTTTGACAACTGTCACATAGATTGGCATGATCTTATACACATCACACATGCTGAATACTTATTGCATCTCAATACACTGGCCTAGAGGCACTTGGGGTCACAGTGTTGTTGTTCTTACGGCAAAGGGGTCTGGTTATGTTACGGCATTCTTTCTTACGCCTACCTTGCTTTCCTTTAGGGGCAAGAAGATATATATAGCAGGGTTTTTCAAAGGTTAGGGGCTGTCTTCTGATCGCCTACTTGGCGTAGTGGTTAGGTACTTTTCAGTTTAGGAAAGAGACAACTAAAGGGGGCCATAAAAAAGGTTTATAAAATTATGCATGGGCCGAAGACAGTTGACAAAGAATAATTTTTCTCCCTCTCCCAAAATACCAGAAATGGGAGGGCATCCAATGAAGCTGAGGGGCAGGGAGTTCAGGATGGACAAAAGGAAATACCAGTCTACACAGAGAGTGATTCAAATGTGGAATTCGCTGCCAGAGGATGTAGTCCTGCCCACAAAAGGGGATTAAACAGATTCATGGAGGATACGTCTGTCAATGGCTAGTAGTCATGGTGACTGAGGGGAACCTCCACTTTAAGCCTCGGAATCCCAGAGCCAGGAGGCAACATGAGGGGAAGGCCTCGGCCTCTCTGCCCTGCTGTTGGCCCGCTAGAGGAGCTGGTTGGCCACTGTGTGGGGACAGGATGCTGATCTGGATGGACTATTGGTCTGATCCAGCAGGGCTGTTCTTATGTCCTTAAGGGTGGACTCCGTGGCATTATACCCTGCTGAGGTCTCTCCCCAAACTTCACCCTCCCCAGGCTCCAACCCCGGAATTTCTCAACCCAGGGTTGGTGTGCAACAGTTTCTCCGTACGTGTATCTAATCTGCTTTGCAGGCCAGATCTGAACATTTCCTTGGCTTTAAATACTTATCACCATGTCCTTGTTACTGAGCCACGGAGTGATCTGTTTATATGTTCAATTTGTGCCCCTGGTACAGGAGCAGGAAGGAGGATAGCCCCCTTATCTGTATTGGATTCTTGTCCTATGACCGCTAATCGGTTGGCCTGGGAGAGTCTGAGAAGTATCACTTCATCTGTCACGGTCATCATGGTTGGGGGGGGGTCCAAAGGGGACATGAAGCCCCTTAGGTGACCCTGGGCCAATTGCTCTCTTGCATCATAACCTACCTCACAGGGTTGTTGTGGCGATAAAACAGAGCAGGGGGGAATAACTTACACTAAGTACTCCGAGCTTTTTTAAAAAAAATACCTGTAAATCTTTTAATTCCTCCTTTGCTCCAAAATATAGATCATATGGAGACATTACCTCTTTTATTAGAAGATAATAGCAGATCTATCACTCTTTTAGCTGCAAGATTTTATGCGATAGGTTTCCGCAGCCGTTCAAATGGGGTCTATCTTTTCTATATTTTGGTAATCTGCTTAAAACGAATGAGTTAAGAAGCAGTATGTGGCAGAATTATAAGCAAGGCAATTTCTGTGTAGCAGCCTGAATTAGCTTGTGCCTCTCTGGTTCTCTCTCCCACAAGGCTTTGCATAAGGATTAGATATCGTTCTATGCCTCTCTCAGTCCTGACAATGCCCTCTGTTCTGACAATGCCCTCTGCTCTAGAAGAACGGTTGACCTTTCTGAGTTCATCCTGGAAGTCAAGACTGTTGAGATACCAGGGTGTGTGGCTCCAGAATTCTGCCTTGACACAGTGGGAGGAGATTGGGTGTTTCTAACCAAGAAGATTATGAGCTGCCACTGAGCAGAGTTCATCTGGTCAGCGAGGGGAAGGGTTTGGGTTTCGACATTTCTTAACTGACAGCTACTCTGGATTTCCCCCCCTATATAATGTCAGTGTCTGCCACTGTTCGGGGCTCCTTGCCAAATTACCCCCATTGTGGGCGATTTGCAGGGAAGCCGGAATGTGTATTCCTACATTCCTGGAGACCAAGCCCTATGAGGAAAGACTGAGGAGAACTTTCGGTCTGGAGAAGAGGAGGTTGAGGGGGAGACGTGATTGCTCTCTTGAAGTATTTGACAGGCTGTTGCTTAGAGGAGGGCAGGGAGCTGTTCCTGTTGGCAGCCGGGGATAGGACTCGCCATAATGGGTTTTAATTAAGGGTGGGAAGGTCAAAGTTGTGCCACAGTGGAATCAGCTGCCTCGGGAGGTGGTGAGCTCCTCCTCACTGGCAGTCTTCAAGCAGAGGCTGAATGAACATTTGTCAGGGATGCTCTAGGCTGATCCGGCATTGAGCAGGGGGTTGGGCTAGATGGCCTGTAGGGCCCCTTCCCGCTCTGATTCCACGCTCCTATGAAACGGATATAAGTGCACTCTTCGTCTAATGTGATGAATGATTGGAATTGCTACTTGCTTGAATATTTTTGCACTATGGTTTTGTATTTCAATAAATAAGAGTTACTTTGGAACAGTTGTCTCTCTCTCAGTTTGGTGTAGTGGTTAAGTGTGCAGACTCTAATCTGGGAGAACTGGGTTTGATTCCCCACTCCTCCACATGCACCTGGCTGGATGACCTTGGGCAAGCCATGGTTCTGATAAGAGCTGTTCTTGAAAAAAGAGCCATTTCTCTCAGAGCTCTCTCAGCCCCACCTACCTCACAGGGTGTCTGTTGAGAGCCAGTTTGGTGTAGTGGTTAAGTGTGCTGACTCTAATCTGGGAGAACCGGGTTTGATTCCCCACTCCTCCACTTGCACCTGGCTGGATGACCTTGGGGAAGCCGTAGTTCTGATAAGAGCTGTCCTTGAAAAAGAGCAGTTTCTGTCAAGAGCTCTCTCAGCCCCACCTACCTCACAGGGTGTCCGTTGTGGGGAGGAGAAGGGAGAGGAGTTTGTAAGCCGCTCTGAGACACCTTTGGGTAGTGAAGGGCGGGGTATAAATCCAATCTCTTCTTCTCCTCCTCTTCTTCTTCTTCTCCTTCTCCCTCTCCCTGAAACTACAGGGTCCCTGCCGGTCTTATCCCCCTCCTTTATCAAGCTGGGTGGGGTTGGGAGGCCTGTGCTATTTTCCCCAACACAGTATTACGTAGAGAGAAATTTTGGAAAATATATATTCTTGATTACTTCCTGTACCTTGTTTTGGGAACATGACTGTTGAAATTGAGCTACGTCTTTTCTGTCACAATCATCA